TTGCATGTTAATTCTGAGAAATTGTTGAATACAAAAACTTCCACTTGGTTTAAATCAGATACAAACGAAATACTGATAATATCCCATATTCCTCGAGAAATAATAAAAAGCCCGGTATTCGAAATAATTCCATACCCGGATGAAAATAATAATATTTTGACAGAAATAGCTCATAAAAAATATTTTACCCAAGATAAAAAAGTTTATAGCAGAGAAACAAAAAAATTAATTAATAATGAATGTTTAACAGGAATTTTAAACCAAATAACATCAGAATGTAGTTATACTAAAATTTTGCAAAATTTTCAAATCAACTACATAGAACCAAATATAATTTTAACTTGGAATTTACCAAAAACTATATTAAACCATAATTGTATAAATAACGAAATAACAATAGAAGGAAACAATATAATAAAAATCTTTAATTGTTCACTGCAAATTAATGAAATTTCAATTTCAAACAATGTGTTAGATTATACTCAAAGCATTTACGTAAGCAATGATGTTATAAAATTAGAACCACTTTCGTTTGTACAAACGAAACAAATTATAAATGCACATACAAAATTTAACAATGTATTCCAGATAATTACAATAACCATATTTGTAATCATATTAATAAGTTTAACACTGTATTTGACATATAAGTTCAAAAGCATACCTAAGAAATTAATTATAAAATATAAAAAACCCAAAGTAGAAGAAACACCTACAATAATAGGAGATATACCAATTGTAAAAGAAGAAAATGTTACACTATATCCAAACTTAAACACCTGAGGACAGGCACTTTTCTAATGGTTGGGGGAGTGACATATCCATAGTCGCACCCACCCTTTAACATAACTTAGCACATAAGCATAAGCACAATTATAAACATTTCTAATATTGTAAACAAAGAGCCTGGTGATAACATCGACATTGGTCAAGATCAAACTGTCCCCCTTTGGTAGACATAAACAATTCACCCTAAATATCACGCCACTGTCAATGTTCCCATCAGAGTACTATCCCACGCATAATTGCTGACGCAGCTCAAACTTCACTCAATTTTGACTCAAACTCTCTCAAAGCGAAGTTTGCTAAGCGACCGCAACAGTTAGATAAATCAGTTCATATTCGGGAAGCAAATCTGAATGTACTCAACAAAAGTAGCCGTTAAGTGAAAATAATAAATTGAAATATATTTTTTTATAGTAACCTAACGTGTAAAACTTAATTATATATATATGTGTGTATATAGTTACGGGTGTGTGTGTGTGTGTGTGTATAAAGTAAGTGACTTCTTGGCGCCTTCTTGCATGTTTGGCCGGAAGAAACCGCTGACTGCCAACTTGGGACTCGCCTCTGCTTAGCCATTTTGTTAGTTATTTTAAAATAACAAAAACCAGACTGTCCCACAAAGTGAAGAGGCGAATATTAAATGCTCTCTCAGAGGTAGGAGAAATAATAAATAAAATCAATTTTGCTCCCGTTGCTCTCATTTGCAGCTTAAGAAATCTTTATTGTCGATTGCATTTGATTTAACAAAAAGTTGTTTGCCTCATTCAAAGCGTTACGCATTTCATGATAAACCAGTAATACCCTCTGGAAGTGTATAAGATGTGCAAAAGAAAAAGAAAACAAAAAAAGTTATATAAGTGAGATTTTTTCCTCTCTCTCCCTCACCAGTTGCGCGCATAAAACTCTCTGGCAACTCTGCGCTGTGTGGCCACTGGTGTCCGTTTTAATGCCCATTATCATGATGTGTGTTTGTATGTGTGTGTGTGTGTGCGTGTGTGTGTAGAGGGCTGAGCCTAAGCATTTTTATGGCCTCCTGCTGCCGTTCTCTGCCTCCATCAAGCCCACAAATCAGCACAGAACAAGCTTACTTAATGACTTGCCCGCCAGGTGGCGTTGCACAAACCGTTATGAGTGTCAAAATGTGGGCAAAGAGTGTGCGGGTGTGTGTGTGTGTGTGTGTGTGTGTGTAGGTAGATGTGTTTGGGTGTGTGTTTGTGTGCTTTTGCTTCCTTGTATAACACATTTCATACGCCTCGTTGACGCGACGACATTGTCATACCCGTGCTAGATTAATTAAATGGGGTATATACAAAAATCAGATAATAAAAGGTTAAAGCGTGAATAAAATGTCAGCTGTCTACAAAATCGATTCAGTTTTAACAAAGCTATGTTAGCTTGAAGTTTGGCAAGTGTATTTACTAGGAACCTAAGCATATGAATTGTCCAAAAAATTGAACAGCTCAAAATTGCCTTTGAGTATGATTTTGATAAGTTTTTATTCTAATTTTGAGCATCACAATTCATTGAAGATAAAATATCAAGATTCTAATTATTGAAAATTTTTTTCTTTTTTGGAAAATTGAATTGGGCTGAAGTGCAGAGTATTAATATAAATATAGAATACATTTAATTGCAGCATTTCGAAGAGTGTCAAGCCATAAAAAAACAAGTAAAAATTATTTTTGGCAAAGTTGAAGCACAGTTACAAAAAATCACTTGCAACGATCAGCCAAAAAAAAAAAAATAAGTGTTTTCTAAAGGTTAACTGGAAACGAAAAATATGTCCTTTATGCCTATTTTAATTGGTATTAAATACGATTGAATTATAGAAAAAAATCTATTAATTAATGCACCTCCAGCTCAAGACGATCGATTAGTTCTTAGTACAAGCTTTTTAAGGCCTCTGACAGGTATCTAATTAGTCGGTGTTGCTTTCATTGAAAATTCACAACATTTTATGTTATGCACACACTCTTAAAACACCCCAACGTTGAGGTGCCTGACATGACTCGGGCACATTTTTAATAGACTTTGCAGATAATGTGTACAGCGTGTCGGGGTGAAAGCAAGGAATATGGCACATGGAGGCCAGTCAACTCTATGAAAGTTGCGGCTTGCAGAAAAAAAAGACAACAAATAAACGCCCTCAAATGAATAGGAAATTGTGCATGCCCTTGCAGTCGAATGGTATGCACATAATTATGTGGCCGCAAAGTTTTATCCTTGATGTGTATAATTAAGGATGTTGGACTTAATAATGCGTACCAAAGGTTTTGAGCTTTAAAACTATGTACTTTCAGTGCATAGCTTAAGTATACAAAGTGTCGGGCTTCCAACAAGCCAAAGGAAGTGTTTCATCTTTCGCCTAGAAAGAAAAAACTATATTTTGTTAAGATCAAAAATTTGCTTATGCTTTTAGCCCTTGGGAATTCAGTTATTAAAATGAATAAATTTGCAGTTTTTAGTAGCTGAGATTTAAGTACACAACAAGATTTACATAAATAAGCAAATAAAGGGCTTCAAATATCCACAATCCAAAGCTTATGAACCTAAATAATGCAAATATATTCTGATGTTAATGCTTGGGCTAGTAAAAGTCGAGAGAGCTCGCCTTAGAGATACCCTGTCTTAATGCCTCGAACTGATTTTGAGAGGGGCTAATCAAATTTCCAAATTACAAAATTTTTTATTAAAAAAAGGAAATAAATAAATAAACTTAAAGCATAAAAATAATAACAAAAAAAATTTAATAATAAATATTTCATGTTTGAAGGCAATCAATATTGAGAATTCCATACTTAATATAAATAATATGAAATAATATATAAAAAATATATGAAATATTTTGATTCTAGCTACAGGTCTTAAAATGCCATCTCCAGCCTCTTACATATTCACAAAACTGCTCTGCATGCCCTACTTAATACTTGAAATGGTTCTAGGGTATTCAAATGAGTTTAGCTTAATGAAAACTTCAGTCAGAACGAGTTGCTAAGCGAGTAGAAATATATATTTATATATATTTTTATAAACATGTCCAGCATACTTTTGAGTGCTTATGTAAACGACCTTCGCCCTCTATTTGCTGCCTCTCGTTGCTGTCGCTGTTGCTTTGCTCAAGCTGCATAATTGACAAGAGAGAGAGAGAGAGAGAGATGAAGAGGGGGCAAACGCAAAGCCAAAGCGAAATCTAAAAGAAAATGTACGCAAGACTACAAAACGTTTGACGTTTGAAACTTTTGTTTTGTGTATTCCCAGTACCCCTGTTGCCACCTCTGCCCCCACTCTTGTCTCCTGTCGCTTGAGTGTCGCGTCTGTGTTTACGCTTGAGCGTGCACTAAGACAGCCGCACATCCTGTGGATGCATTTCGTCCGCCCGCCCTGCCCTCCACTTTGAAACGAGCGCGCGTCCTTCGCAAACTATGCTAACATGTGTTGCGAATTTATCTCTGGGAATTTCGAAAAAAAAAAAACAACTAAATAAGTTTTCCCCCTAGCAAATAAAATAAATATATACACATGTATATTTTTTCTTTTAACTTGCAGCTAACATGCATGTTAATTATGTCACACACATGACAAAACTTTCAGGCATCGTTTCAAATTGCCTTCACTTGAGAGTATTTCGAGGGCAATTAACTAGCTGCTAAATATATATGTACATATATGCATAGTTTAGTAATAGTTACTTATCTAGGCTATTGCATGGCCTTAATTTGCGCTTGATTTGCGACCAAAGTTGGTTTTAGACATAACCTCAAATGCTATACGCATAGCTACGAGTGCCAACATCTTTTGCCTCAAACTACAGACAAGTTTGTTTTCCTCCTGCTAACCCTGCCTTATCCCTACTTCTATTGCAAACTTTGGCAAAGTTCAAAGTGCAAACTATGCAAGCTGCATTTGCAATGCGGCATTTTTTTTTTTTGTTTGTGACACCGACCCGAACAAAATCTGAACAGACTGCGCTAAAAATTTCGTTATAGAAATTTCCATTTCGGCTTCAGTCTCTCACAGGCTGAAAGTCTCTCAAAGTTAAGTTCGTGTTACACTGTAACACCTAATTAAATGCCGCAGAAAATGCCATTGAAAACGGATAGTTCTTATGCGATATATGGATAAATTCCAGAACACGCACACAATATCCCACGTCTTCAACATGTACTAAGAAGACAATTAAAGTTTAAAACTTTTTTAATTAAAGACGCTGTGAATAGTTTTAAGATTAGGCATGGTTTTTTTACTTAATTCTTATACCAGTCCAAACTTCCCTTTCTCATAACGCGGTCAAATTCTAGGCGATTTTCATGAGATTTGGTTTGGCCTCGTCTCATGACGAGAATTGGCTTTTTGATAATGGTTCGGCTTTTACAATTAATGAGCATTAAAATATATCAACATCATTTTCGGTTAAAATTCATTTACCTTTTGAATTTTCACCACGTTCCATTCAAAATTGTATATAAATTCTATTGAAAATTAATTCTATTAAATTCAATATTGTGAAAATATACATGAAAACGTAAATTTCCTTGCGAGTTTTCAATGATTTGCGTGCATGTCGCTTCAAAGTATGCAAAAACAAATGGGAAAACCCAACAGAACACAACACAGCACAGTACGGCAAACGAATGCTAATGCAAAGTGACACACGAGGCGTATGTGGAATATTTGGCTTGTGCGCGCATTGCTCATACGCCGCGTTGCTGTCGAAAGTTTATGGTTTTATTTTGTTGCTGTTCGCTGCTCGTTAGCCTTGCCTGAGCGTCAGAATTAAATGACATTGTTTTTAAGCAAGGCGCAACTCAATCGTAAATCATGTGATTGTTGTTATTGTTACGGTTGTTGTTGTTGTTGTTGTTGCTTTTGTTATTGTTGTTGTTGTTGTTGGCAAAGGTAAACAGTGTCATATAAAACCCGCAGTTGTCTGCTGTGCCGTCTGCCCGTTCGTATGTGGTAAAAGTTTGAGAAAAATTTGATATATATGACAGTTGTTGTTCTCGTTGATGCTGTTGTTGTTTATCTCATTGTTGTTGTTTTTGTTGTTGTTACCCCATTTGACAGTTACATGCACTGCACCGCAGCCTGAAAAACGAGACACAAAACGTAGAAATAAAATGGAGAAACAGAATTGCAAAGAGTTGCATATAATTTTGTTGTAGACTCTAAGGAAGCAAGTTTTTATGTGTGTATGTGTGTGTTTTTTTTTTTTTTGTACGTGACAGTCAGCATTTTTTCTTATGAGTGCGCCCCCGCTCTCCCTTTCCCACTCTCTCTCCCTTTCCGTCAGTCGCTCTATTTCAACCGCTTCGAGCGGGAGCGAGGCACAGCATTTGGGTCAACTATCGACTGGCATTTGTAGCCGCTTTCAAAATGTCAGCAATACAAGCTTCCAGCCAGAAAGAAGGAGAGCGCAACAACAAAAAAAACCCCAATTTTTTTTTTACGAAAGTGTTGCAGCACTCACCGGAGAGTTGAGATGGACATTGCTTTGGGTTCGCTTGTTGGGAAGCCACTCAACTGCAGTGAAAATTGATTTCAATTGCCGTATATGATGGTGAAATCGCCATGCTCAAAAGGAAAAAATTCTGTGTGGGGCTGCCTACAGCAAAAGTGGAGAACAAGAATTGGGTACAAAGAAATGCATGTTGGCTTAAATAATTTAGTTGATTACGTGACTGACAGGTACTAAAAGTCCATGACTTGCTTGAATGGAAAAGTCTTTAAACTGATTGTTTTCCGAAGTATGTTGTGTTTGCAAAGAGCTGTTAAAGTAACGCTGTTAATGTTAATTGAATATTAAACATAACATTTCATTGAATTAAAATCATAATGCAATTCTTTGGGGGCTTAGGTCAGTCTCCATATGATAAAAGTGAAGCTTTCAATGTTAAGCGAATGTAAACAAATACTTAGCTCATTTAATTCCGTGTTAAAGAGACGCTGTATGATTTAGTGGAACGTTATACATTATATGTTCTATTAAATTGATATATAAAAAATGCAATGTACATTAACATGGCTCTGTAAGTTAACATAACTATGTAAGCATACATGTAAACATTTCTTTTTCGAGAGTGCCGAGATACAATAAAGAATAGTACAACAAAAAGTCTTCCTAAAACTCACAAAACACATACGAAATCTTAGCAAAATAAAAGCAGCAAACATTGCCTATAATCAAAAATATGTATATTTATATTAACAGAGCTATAGCTTGACTTATCAATGGGGTATATTAATATATTCACTACAATACTCTGGTCAATTGAAACTGAAAAGCTGAAATTGAGAAGAAAACCACTTTAAATAGCATTAAGCAGAATGCAAATCTCAAATGGAGCTGATTAGCGTATTAAGTATTGCGTATTATCGCATTGTGGCATTGACAATGACGCTCATTATTCGGCCTGGATGACGATGCATCTCATATTGAATTTCAAGTGCCAGACTGTCGATGGGTATTTGGCCAGGCCAAAACTGTTGACAATAATGAAGCTGCTGAACATTTTGTGGTTATGTTTATTGTCTCTGTTCACATTGTTACCCTTGTTTCTTGTTGTTGTGCATGTTAAGTTGTGGTTGTTGTTGTTGCTGTTGCTGTTGTTGTCGTTGCTCTTGTCCAGAGGCCATTTAGAAACATTTGTGTGCATCTGTGCGAATTGTTATTTGTGCATTGTGCAGTTTCCAGTGCTGTTGCGGTTTTTCTGGGATTTCGTAATTCGCCCAGATGCACATCTATGTGGTTTATTGCTGAAAACACTCGAAAAGGGGCGTGCACAATTACTGGCTAGAAAGGAAATGCTATTTAAAAGTGCATCAAAGCTCTTAAAAGAAGCACCATTTAAAAGAGTAACCGCATTTTTGGTAATGCTTGAGGTTAGTTTTAGGTGCCTTGTGCTTGACTAGATTTTAATGTAATGTAGCATTTAGCTAACAGGAGTATTGATTTTATTATCATGATAATGTGAAAAATTGGGCTAAGTTAGCAGCATTTTCTATTCTATAACCGTTAGCTGACAAGCTGACAAGCTGGCAACGCTGCAATCAAGCTTCATGTAAAATATTTTAGCTGGCTGATAAAGTTGTTAAAGTGCAATGGCTTAAACATAATGGAATCTTATATAAATAAAACTAGATTATAAAATGATAAGCACGTAGAATAGATAACGTTCAAACAAATTATCGATAATGTTATCGATATATCTGCAGCCATGTTGCAAGCATGTTTATTTATTAACCCTCACACCGGCTGCGTATTTTCGAGTTGATTATATTTCACGAGCTGTCTGCTTGAAAATGCACGCTCGCAAATCAATTGCCATGGCGATTGCAATTTAGTAAATTGGTTTTGGGGTTTGGGAATATCCCCCATTGAAGAATGCAGAACAAATGTTGTGCACAAGGTGCGCACAGCCAGGGGGGACGCATCAATTGAAGTTGCAGGCGAACGATTTACATTTACAATTTGCTGTTGGCCTCAAATTTCTTAAAGCTTTTGCACTTGTCCAAGAAACATGCGCGAAATATACCGAAGCATACTGCAAATCCCCCCGCCCCCCCTGCCGCTGTTGCACATGCCTGCCATTTGATAAATGTCTCCACTGTGCCATCGTCCTGATACCTTGGGGCATGATAAATTACTTGCATACTCTAAAGCAAGTTTCACATTTGCAAATAGCATATTTCTTTAAGCCTTATCCAATGTGCAGCTCAGTGCAGGGAAATTGGAATTGGGAATGGAAATGTGTGCAGCTACGTGATGAATCCGCAGGGAACTGGAGGCTAGAGCAACGAGAAATAAGCATTTGATCTTTGAAATTCCTTTGCAAATCATTATATTACAAGCTCTTGAGCTTTGCATTTAAATGAAATATTTCCAATTAAAATTGTTCGATTTCTGCAGGAAATTTAAATTGCTGAATAATCTTGTTTCCATACAAAAAATAATAAATCAATGAAATGTAAAATATAATGAGTTTAAATGCCAGAGTCAAAGCATAGCTGAAATAAAATATTAAATAAAATATCATCGCGTTTATACATCCGCAGAAATGCCTTTAGGAAATTCATAACTTCTCTCAAACATATCTTAAAGATATTCTCCATTTAAGGCGTCTAATCTAAATCTCACACATTTAATTGTCAATTTATATTTTCGTTCTAAAGTTCCGCTAAGCACTAATCCGTTTATCGTTGCCAACGTATCTAAGACTCTTAATTAGCGCCTTTCCACAAACACACACCCATTGGGGAAAATCCGCCTCCACACTTTAAGCCATTCTAAGCCGACGTGCCACACGTGTTGCACAAATGTTTCGACACATTAATTCCATGTTGAGTTTCCAGCTAAAGGCCCATTAAATAAAACGCAAGCGCACAACAATGAAAAATTCTTATGGGCAATCCATAAGAAAGTCATTTATATAAACACCCGCCAGAAGGCGGTTTCATTTCGACAACTGTTTTTCTTTCAGTTTCCACCACGCAGTTTTTCACAATACAAATTAAAATGGCAAATGTGTTTCTTTTCTTCATTTTTTTTCTTTTGTTGCCATTTTACCGACTTCATTTGCGTTTTGTTGTGACCTTTGCTTATTGTGCGAATTTTTGCTATTTTATACCCTATAATATTCTTACAAAAAGCCAATCGGAATGTTTTCTTCTAATAGGATCTATAATAAGAATAGTTTTGTGAGAAGCTTATTAAAAAATTCTTATAAGAAGGACATAAGCAAAGGGCTTATTCAATTATAAGAAATAATAGAATGAATTGTCAATAAACAATCGATATTTTTCTATAACTTCGATATATCAATAAAATCTTTGTTTTTAGGTCTAAAAGAAAAAAATTATTGAAAATTAATCAAGTAAATAATCAAATATATAAAATAGAATAAAATTAAAGTGTTATAAATATAATAATATAAGTATAACAATCATCCTAGCTTATAGTATCTACAACTAATTTCCATTTGTAGATCAAATTTCTTTTTATATTTATTTCTGGAGGGTATTCAACTTTTCGCATATCGAAAAAATTACATTTTTTTTTATTATTCCTTGACTTTTTCCGTTTTATTTTGCGCTGAACAAGCATTACTTTTGCCATGGGTGGCCGCCTTTTCAATTTGCGCTTAGAAGCATGCTACGATTTGTGCTTGGCGCTCGTTGTGCTTGGCAACAGCAGGCAAATGCAAAGAATATCTAGTAAATCTTTACTATTCCTCTCGTTTCTTAACTGATTTGCAACTAGTTCGCATATATATCTCTCGGCGTGTGTTTCGCCTAACTGCCTCGAACTACTTGAAACAGTTCCACAGATGTTGCACATAAATTGCCCGGGCTGTCTCCGACTGGGCACTGTATCGAGTCTAAAATATGTCCAGCTTAATTCTCTAACATTAATTGTCTGGCTGACAGCAGATTGTCGTCTCTCAACATATGTCTAGGACCCAGAGTCAGACTCAAGGCGCAATAAAAATGATTTAATTTTACGCACCACTGCAAAATTGTCAAAAATTATTGCCCTCTTGGGAAAGATATACAAAAAAAAAAAATGGAGAAGAAAAATAATATAAGGCGCTATTTTTAAGAAGCACACGCGCTGTGCAGTATGTGAGGCGTAAAATAGCATTACATAAGCTATTTGCCTAGGAGCTACCCTGTAATATGTTTTGAATAATGTTTTATGAAGCATTATATATTTTATTAAATACATCAGCAGATAATTTTCATGTGATGAATTTTGTTTTCTTTACTTTAAAGCCCTATGGACCCACTTTAGACCTTTAATACAGGGTATTAAAGACTCTTAGAACCTTAGTACAGGGTATTAAAGATAACAAAATACTTAAGCTTTTAAAGACCAGTGATAGCTTTAGTATAGGGTATTACATATATAACAAATAAGGTACTAAAGCCTCTGATACCGCATATAGCCACATTCAAATTTGAACACAGGATATTACACATATGACTAACAAGATACACACACACACACCCATACATAAGCGCTGCAGAATATTAAAAATGTCGTCGCAGACTTTTCAATTTATTGACAATTTTGCGCCAGACGATGCTGCGCTTTAGGAAATGTATACTGTGAAGAAGAATTTTGCCGCCAAGTATGCTGCAAATTGATGTAAATTATTTGCGCATTATATTGATTGTTTTTACATACTTAAATCATTTGATGTAATTCACGAGCAGTTAAATTTTTTGCAATTTTTATTTCAAGTTTTATTTAAGTCAACATCAGACGGCAACTGAAATGTTTGGCCCCAGTTTCTGGTTCATTTGCCGTCACGTTTTTAAATGTTGACCAGTTTCCGGACGGCGTTGCCCAACGGCTGCCAAGATAAGCCGCTTAGCGCCCCGTTGATGGATACGAGCTAATGGCTTGTGAAAATGTCTGTAGCCAGCGCAGTCTTGTAAAATATACGAGCCAAGTTGGCTCGCTGCACGGCACAGTTAACTGGATTGAGTTGTTTTAGCCTTAAGCTGGGCGTAGAGGAAGAAGAAGTCAGTCATTTGGGCGTAGATATGGTATTGGAAGAGAAATATGTTCGGTTAGCCGAATATTTAAGTACTCTGAATATTTAATAAATCTATGGTTTTAATTGCAAGGTGAAGGGGCTACAATGGAGGAGGGTGTAAGCTGGTTCAGGTTTGATTGCAAGGCGTGAATGTCTCTAAGTTTGTATA